AATTTCCACATGTGAATTAAAAGTTAAGTTAATTTAAAATAATAATAATAAAAAAAATGAGCAATCAGATGGTTTTGGGGGGGGGGGGGAGGGGGAGCTAGAAAAGGCGAACTAAGGGAAAAAGGGGACATTTCTTTCTTCCCCTTGGTGAACCGTGAGCACCACCAAACCGTTTCAAACCCGCCATTTCAGGTAAGTTCCTCCAATTCTCAGCTGATTCTCCTATCTTCTTCACCTGTAACTTGCTTAAATATCTTCTCCCTTCCCTCTCTACCTAAAATCAAGGGTTTTTAAGGTCCAATTCGGGTAGAACTCCATAGGAGAACCCCGGGGGTTCTCGACGATGAATTGTCGTTCCGGAGAGTGTCACCACTAACCATCACCCTTAATCAACTTCCCTTGGACCCAGGAATAAGACCCAACTGGTGGTTGGGGCGTTGGAACACCAAGGAAGCCGAATTTAAGGGCACCCACCTTAGGGTTTCGTTGGGTGCGAGCCAATTTGAGGGCCTTCCTCGCCAAATTGGACTCGGCCACAGGTATAAAGTTTACTCTACTTGTTGAAATCTTTATTCCTGTAAAATTTGAGAATTTTTGGAGAAAGTCAAATTTTCTGGTGTGTGACATTCGATTTATAAAAATGTTGTTGGTTAAGTATTTTATCGATAAGCTCCGCCACTTGATTACTCTAGCGATTGATGATCTTACCATTGAATTGACACCACTTGTAGTATGCTATGGTAGTTAATGTTTAAGGACCTTAGGGACTTACAAGTGAAAATCTAGAGTTTGGATATTACGGAATAAGTGACGTAAGATCATGGACCCTACCTTAGAATGACAGTTCGATTCCTCATTAAATGTTCTTGTGGGAAATATATAAGAGTTTTAAGTATGTGAATTATCGAAGGAAATATAAGTGTGGTTTGTACCTTGTTAGGTGGTGATAGAACATGATGCCTTGACTCTCGTGTTTGAGTGCATTAGTGTGGATCTCAGGTGAGTGATTCTAATCTATGTGTTATGGTTATTGTTTTGAAATCTTTTGTGCTAATAAATGTTGTCGTTACACTATGGATTCTTAAAATAGTTCTGATGCTAAATAATTGTTGCTAGTAAATTGCCGTCGATCTACTTATGAAACATTAGGTGACTTGGATATTTGAACTGTGATAGATTGTGTTTTAGGATATATATGTGATGGATGATAAAAATGATGGATTGTGTTTTGGGATATATATGTGATGGTTGATAAAAATGATGGATTGTGAAGGACCATTACCCTAGTGTCATGGGGTTAGGTGACACTAAGTGTGTACCACGTAGCAATGGTCCTGGATGGTCCTACTTGGTTTATCCACATTAGGGGACCATATTATTTGTGGATCGCGCTTGGTTAATCCGCGTTGGGCGATCCTTATAGCCTAGGTATGGCCATACACATTTAAAGGTGATCATGCTTGGTTAATCCGCATTGGGTGATCACCTTCCAATAGTTATAGGAGTGACTCTGCTTGGTTAATCCGCATTGGGGGGTCACTACCTATTTGGTTATTTTCTTAGGGGTGACTCTGCTTGGTTAATCCGCATTGGAGGGTCACTACCTACTTGGTTACTTTCTTAGGGGTGGCTCTGCTTGGTTGATCCGCTTTGGGGGGCCATTTCCTATTTGGTTACTTGCGTAGGCTTCGGTCGAACAACGTCTCTCTAACTCTAGTTTTGAATATATCTGTGAATGTGGCTTTAAGAACTCTAAGTTTTGATTTAGAAAACTTGTTGGATGTATGTATGACTCATTTGGAGGTGATAAGGTTTGGTAGCGATTTCTTATGAATGATTTATATTCAAGGTTTATAAATTGTGAATGGTGACTGTTTTTTTTATTAGTATCATATACTTTGTATTATTTATCGCTCACACAAGTTTGTAGCTTATCCGGGTTATTGCTTGCCGGTGCACCATTTCGATGGTACAGGCACTGATCTTACAGGTAACAAGTCTGAGTAGCTTCGAGAGGCTCGTAAGTGGGGTTGCGGTACAGTTATCAGAGATTTGGATTGCTAGGTTACCCCTATATCCTATCTTGTACTTTATCTTGGGACTTTCTTTTGAGCACCTCAAACTTGTTCTTAGGCAAAGATTATGCTCCTTTTTGGGATGTACATATTTGTAAATATGTTGTGGAGAACTTAGCCACCTTCGTATTATTTTGATTTATCAGTTAAAGTATTTTATTCCGTAACTTATACCGTATTCAACGAACGTTATTTTCCTTGTCATGTGTTGATTCTCGACGTATGTTGGGATCGGGACGTGACACAAAATCTTCACTAAACCTAGCCTTCCAATATATCAAATCAAAGTTCATATGACAAGGAATCAGAATATACCTTTAGTTTCCTTGGCCGTGGCCTGAGTTGTCTGAAAAACGGCTCGAAAGCCACCGGAAAATCTAGGAAGTTCTTCCCCGACGTGGTTATGCGTTCCCAGCTTCACCAAGATGACATTTAGGGTTAAGTAGGATTAGATCGAGCTATAAGAAAGGTTGACTCTCAAAGGCTACCTTGGTCGTGGACGGAAGAAACTCACCGAAAAAATCAAATTGATATAAACTCCTCTTTTGTCCGTACACGCGCATATAGCTCAGTTCTCGAATGGAGGTTGGTAACTGATACTGTGGTGATGGTTTAGTGGTTAGAGGGATCGCCGGAGTGATGAGGTGATGCTTGTCGTTCAGGCAAGGGTGGTACGGTGTGGCGTGGGCTTTCTACACTTGTAGAAAGAGAAAGATGAGACGGAGCTAAGAGATGAGAGATAATGAAATGAGGGAAGGATAGATGAGGTGGCAACAAATTAATGGAAAGTTGAGAAAAAAAATTGGGATTTATGAGTATTGGGAGACACGAAAGAGAGGGAAAGAGCGGAGTATGGGCCCTACGTGGCTCACAAAACAAGCCACAAAATATCTCTAAACAGAGAATTACCAAATTGCCCTTTACATTCGTAAGTCTGTAAAATCTCTATCGTAACTCCAAATTGGATTTCACTTGCGCCTACACGTTCGTACCATCGAGTATTTCGAGAGTATGAGAAAATAACAGCTCACAATTGTCACGAAAAGACGGTCAACAAAAGTCATCAATCTCACCTCTAGGGCATTTTCATCAAATCACTCTTTTAAAATTTATAAAATTGTAAAATTAGGAACGGGTTGTCACAATTAGTATCTCACAACAGGCTAGCAATAATATGATTCAATTTCTCTATTTTTAAGCACGTTCAAAACATCTTAAGAGACGTGTAATGCCGGTTATAAAAAAATGTCTTTCGCACGCGGACAATAATGTGATTAAATAAGTTATCAAATGATTGGTTTTTTTTTTTTTTAACAAATGATATTATCTACACTAAAGAGGGGTGGGCTTAGCCTCACAATGGACTAGCAATAATGTGGTTCAATCAGTTGTTTATTAAATATTATTTTCTCTATTTTAAATGTGTTCAAAACATCTTAAGAAGTGTGTAATGTCGGTTATAAAAAATGTCTTTTGCACGCGGATAATAATGTGATTAAATTAATTGTCAAATGATTTTTTTTTTAAACAAACGATATTATCTACACTAATTGGGAAGGAGGTGGGCTTAGTCTCACAATGAGCTAGTAATAATGTGATTCAATCAATTGTTTATTAAATATTATTTTCTCTATTCTTAATATAAATTCTATAGAGACCGATTTATTATGTAAATTTAGCTACTTTAATTGGTTTATGCGGGTTTCTTCTAGCATGATCTAAAATTATTCATTTACTTCAAATATTTGGCTTTTCTTTTGTCAATTTACGCATATAAATACATTTAAAACATGTAAGTCGTACGTAGCAAACCGTGATTCAAAAAATGTCTTCTGCACGCACGTGAGCGCTTGCATGAAGGCTAGTCGGCTTGTAATGGGATTTGGTAAAAGCAAAAACAATGGATTAATGCATAACATCTTTGAAAATTAGTCAAATCACCCATCTAATTCAACCTCTTATTATAGTGTAACTTCAAAGAAATTCAACCGTTTTGAACTCGATAAGGGGAGGGCGATGTGTAAGACTCTCTCTAATGTATCCATAAAAAATTGAAATCAGAATTATATTTTACTTTAAATTTGACAAAATCTATATCCAATACACCGGAAAAATTAGAGTTATATAGAATTTGGAAGTTATATGCAACGATATATGTATATTAAGTGGATGGAAGAATAAATTGGTATTAAAATTGTTATTCACGAGATTCAAACTTAAAATCTCTCTGTTACAAGTTGAAATGAAATTGTAGACAACGTGGGAGCCCCACCTTAGTAGAAGATACAAAAGTTATATTTGACACACTTCCTCCCTAATGCACAAGGGTAAAAAAAATTGCAGGTTACAAAATTTGACTTTGTATACTTTAGAGATGGTATAACTTAGAGTCAAATATAATTTTATACTTGTAAGTTGTAACTTTTGATTTTTTTTTTTATTTGGAGATATCGTAACCTCCTTTTGCACAATGTCTATAGAGTGCAAATAACACATACATTATGACAATATTATTCCCGCTCTTTTGAAGGGGTATAGAAATATAAATAGAGAGCGCAAGTAAAACCAAAATAGGAAATAGGAAAGAACGTTTCGCGTACACTTTATCTAGACATGTTTTGTACATTGTTTTTTACACCACACCCATTTAATTGTGGCTCTTAATTTTTGTCGATTTGTTCAATTTAATGACTAAAATAAAGTAAGGTGTGCATAAAGAGATAAAAAAAAAAAGGTGTTTTAATTGTGGGTAATGCTATTCACACTTTTTATTTTTTTACTTTCTACACACCGTTATTAATTTTTATTTATTAATCTTCTTCAATTCATCCCAAATAAACGGCCAAAATAAGTATGTTAATAGCATCACCCTTAATTATTTCTCTTTTTCTATACATGCAAATAAGGCATCCAACATGTTTTAAAAGCCCCATAGAAAACTCCAAACTGAAACAACTCATACACAAACCTGCCTACTAGAGATTGTCTCAAAACTTCAATGACTTCCCTCTTTTCTCTCTGCCTCCTTCAGTACATAATAATCGGGGCCGTTGCACAACTCCGGCCTCATTATTACTCTGAAACATGCCCGCAAGCTGAATCTGTGGTCCGAGATGTCATGAAAGAGGCTCTGATCAGAGAGGCCCGGAGCCTTGCCTCTGTCATGCGTTTCCAATTCCATGATTGCTTTGTCAATGTAAGTAAAAACTACATACACAAACAGTATATTCCCTTTTGATCGATTTAACATACATATATCCTGTAGGGTTGTGATGCTTCTATGTTACTTGATGACACACCAACCATGCTTGGGGAAAAACTAGCCCTTGCAAACATAAACTCATTGAGATCTTATGAGGTTGTCGATGAAGCGAAAGAAGCCTTGGAGAAGGTCTGTCCGGGAGTCGTTTCTTGCGCGGACATCATAATCATAGCCTCTAGAGATGCTGTTGCTCTGGTATTACATTCTTTTTTCCAATTACACAGATCAAATAGTACTAACGCTCGATTTTATAAATTTCTTCGGAATGTTTAAAACCCCGCTTATATAATTGACAATCTATAAAGATGTAGTGACATAATTTTGTGTTAATCGGACTGGCGGGCCTGATTGGGGAGTCAAGTTAGGAAGATTGGATAGCTTATCAGCTAGCCAAGAAGCCTCAGACAACGTTATGCCAAGTCCAAGAGCCAATGCAACCTTCCTCATTGACCTGTTTGCCAAATTTAATCTTTCGGCCAAAGATCTCGTTGCACTTTCGGGGTCGCATTCCATTGGCCAAGCTCGGTGTTTTTCCATCATGTTTCGTTTGTACAATCAATCCGGCACTGGCCGGCCAGACCCTGCCATTGAACCAAAGTTTAGAGAAAAGCTAAACAAGCTTTGCCCGTTAAACGTGGACCAAAACATCACCGGAGACCTAGATGCTACACCTGTAGTGTTCGACAACCAGTACTTCAAGGACTTGGTTTCCGGGAGTGGGTTTCTCAATTCGGATCAAACGCTTTTCACATTTCCGGAAACGAAGGGATTTGTGCAGCAGTTTAGCAGTGATCAAGAAGAGTTTTTCAAGGCCTTTGTGGAGGGGATGATAAAGATGGGTGATTTGCAGGTTGAGCAGCCTGGGGAGGTGAGAAGAAATTGCAGGGTGGTTAATAGTCATCGTCCTGCCAGTGCCAACACATGCAAGAGCATTGAAGAAATGGTAACGTTTGTATGAAGACATGAACAATTGAGACAATTGTTTGTTTAAATGCCATCAATGAATTAAATTTTGCTATTTTGTCTTTGACATTGGTTGAATTCTCACGGGTAAGGAGTCATTCCTTTTTGTATGCTGACATGGACATCAATTCACTATAAAAACGTAATAATCTGAACATCATTTCTAGAAAATTTCATTTAATTTTGAAACTGACTCATTGGATTTTGAAACCGTTTAGTCAACTCATTCCCTTTATTATCCTCTAAGCATCATCTTTATAAAATTTTGTTTAATTTTGATCTAAACATCATCTCTACAAAATTTTATTTAATTTTGAGACAATTTCATTTGATTTTGAAGCCATTTTGAGACAAGTTGACAATTAATCATGAGTGGATATTAGTGGTAAATGTTCTCCACATTAAATGAATTTTTAGAAAGATAGCGATAATATCATACTAAAGAATGAATAATTCAAATGATTGATGCTACGTAGCCAAGAAAGAATGACTTGAATTGTCTAGCAGTACTAAGAAGCCCAAGAAATGAACGGTGTAGCCAAGAAATTTTTCTTCAATCTTCACCGTATATTTTCCGGACTAATTCCAAACTATTGAAGACGAAGCCTTGCTTTTCTTCATTGTGCGGAAAGCAACATTCACATATTCCTTGCTCGACCGTTTCTTTGATGAATTCCATGTGCCAAGATTTGTAAATGTCAATAGACTTGCATATTACCGACGCAAAATAACACAATACCAAAAAACAATTAAGGCCATCTCCAACCGACCCAGCCAAAGGGTCATAGGGTTAAAAATAGCTCGAAATGACACGAAAACGATCTCCAACCGAGGGCTAGGCCAAAGGGCTTGTGCCAAAAATTTGAAATCAGGCCAACCAGATGGCCCATTCTAGCCGGCCCAAAAATTTGAATTGCAACAGCTACCTAGCGTCTATTAAGGACCATAGTGTAAAAGATAAGACATAGAAGTATTAGTTTGTAAATATTTCTACAGTCTGTTAGAGTCTATTGTTAGTATTATTTGGACAATTAGGATTAGTTATTAGTGAGCTGTCAATCATTTGTGTGGTGTCTGTTAGAGTCTATTGTTAGTATTATTTGGACAATTAGGATTAGTTATTAGTGAGCTATCAATCATCTGTATGGTGATGTAAATGTATAAATACTATAGTTTGTAATCTTATTCATTTAATAAATGAAAAGATAATTTTTCTATCATGGTATCTCTCACCTCTGTCTAACGACCGATCCTTTTCTTCTCTCGCTTCCCCTCTTTTCTTCTCTGTAAACCCTAAATCGTGATCATGGTGACTGATGCATCTCCCTCCTCTTGCTCCGCTCTTCGCTCTCCAGTCACAAATTCATGCCCTAATTCTTCTGGCACTTCTCCAATTGCATCGATTTCGATCCAAAATATTGGTTCCATGGTGCCAATCAAGCTCACAGCCACAAATTACCTCACATGGAGTGCGTTATTTACTCCGATCTTCCGTCGTTACAATCTCACTGGAATCATCAACGGATCTGTGGCTGCTCCGCCCAAACTTCTTCGCGATTCTTCTGGAAATGCAATCTTGAATCCTAATTATGTTGCTTGGTATGAGTATGATCAAAATATCCTCATTTGGATCAACTCGACTTTCTCTGACTCTCTGATTTCGTATACGGTTGGTGTTAATTCTTCTCGAGAGCTCTGGTCCAAGCTTGAATCGCGACTTGCTGCAGCTTCACAGTCTCATGTTCATGAACTTCGTTCAAGTCTTCACACAATCATCCTTGGTGATTCTACTACAGTTGCATATCTTCAACAAATTCAGGAGATCTCTGATGCTCTCACCAGTGCTGGAGCTCCAATTAAAGAACCTGAGCTTCTCTCTGTCATTCTTCATAGACTTCCTTCTGATTATGACTCTTTTGTTGATGTGATCCAATTTCGTCTTGGATCTACAACCATTGATGAACTTCATGGTTTACTACTAAGCAAAGAAATTCAACTTGCAAATCGCAAGAAATCAACCACCTTAGGATCTTTTCAAGAGTTTAATTTGTCTCTTGGATCTTTTGCTGGAATTCTTCCTCTAACTTTCAGGCATTTCTTGCTCAGAATTTCCCCAATTTCAATCTGCATCACGGTCGTGGTCAAGATCGAAATTTCAATCGAAATTTCTCAAACCCTAGGTCTAACAACCAACATCAAAATTACTCCAACAATTATCAGATGACCAATTATCAGAGAAACAATCAGATGAACAATCGTGGTGGTCGATTTGGTTCAAATTTTTCTGGACGTAGACTCACTTGCCAAATTTGTCGCAAAATGATCATGAGGCTGCTGAGTGTCCTCATCACATGAATCCTCAATTTGGCTCACAAACTTCTCAATCCGCAATGTGTGCCAATGCTGCATCATCTTCTGCTACTCCAACTTGCCTTCTCGACTCTAGTGCAAGCTCTCATATGACTAATTCCGTTGCAAACTTGCAAAGTTCAGAACCTTACACTGGCTCTGAGCAAGTCTACATTAGTGATGGCAAAGGTTTGCATATTCTTAATTCTGGTTCTTCTACACTTTCTACTACTCAACATGACTTTGCTCTTCGAAATGTCTTACATGTTCCTGGTTTAAAACAAGATTTGCTATCTGCTAATCAATTTACAATTGATAACTAGTGCTAAATTACTCTCTATCCTTTTCATTTTATTGTGAAGGATCTTTATTTGGGGAGAATGCTTTTTAAAGGCCCTGTGAGGAATGGTTTTTACCCCTTCACTGCCTCTAGTCCAACTGCTGGTAATCATCTTCTCTTTGCTGCCATAGTCAAAGCTTCTTCTCAAATATGGCATCAAAGGTTGGGCCATCCCTCTTTCAAACTCTTAAATAAAATAGTCTCTAAGTCTAGTCTTCCAGTTTCAACTAGCATGATTAAGTATTTTTGTTCCAATTGTGCAATGGGCAAAAGTACCAAACTTCGTTTTGTATCTAGTTCTAATACTATAACTCGACCTCTGCAACTTCTACATACAAATTCATGGGGGCCTTCATCTGTTATGTCTGTCTCAGGTTATAGATATTACCTCATAGTTGTTTATGATTACACAAAGTACTGCTGGTCCTCTCAAGTGTAAATCTGAGGTTTTTCAAAACTTTATTGAATTCAAAGCATTGGTTGAGAATATGTTGCATACTTCTATTGCTGTCTTGAGATCAAATTTTGGTGGAGAATTTTTAAGTTCTGGTTTTACTCAGTTTCTTAAGACTAATGGTATTCATCACCTACTAAGTTGCCCTCACACATCAGAGCAAAATGGATGTGCTAAGTGTAAACATCGACATTTGGTTCAAATTGCTCGCACTCTTCTGACTGCATCTAATGTTCCCCACATTTATTGGGTTGAAGCCTTTTCAACAGCAGTGTATCTTATTAACCGGCTACCTACTATGACCAAATCTTCTCCTTGGGAACAGTTATTCCACAAACCTCCATCTTATGCCACTCTCAAAGTTTTTGGTTACCGATGCTTTCCCTGGCTAAAACCCTATACAACATCCAAATTAGAACCTATAAGCAAACCTTGTGTCTTTCTCGGTTATAGCTTGAACCATAAAAGATATAAATGTCTTGATCTTTTAACCAGGCGAGTTTATATAACTCGACATGTTATCTTTGATGAATCTCATTTCCCATTTCATCACATTATTGCAATCTCTTCCCCACCTAATCCCCAACCTCCTCACCCTCTTCAATCCCTTCTACCTTAGTGTTTCCTATTCTAGGTGTTTCCCCAGCATCACCATTTCATTCCACTTCATCTTTATCTGCACCTATATTACAACTTGCCAGTTCTTCTAATTTTGCAGATGTACTATCTTCTGCATCTATATTACAACCTGCCAGTTCATCTAGTCCTGCACCCTCTATCCCTCCCACAAACACTCATGCTATGCAAACTAGATCTAAGTCTGGTATATTCAAACCCAAAGCCTATGCAGCCACTAAACATTCACTCTCTTCTCATCTCATTGAGGATTTCTTACCTACTACCTACTTACAGGCTTCAAAACACTCTTATTAGAGACAAGCTATGTAAAAGGAATATAATGCTCTTCTCACTACCGGCACTTGGTCTCTTGTTCCTTCCCATCCTTCACAGAATCTTATGGGTTGCAAATGAGTTTTTCGAATCAAAAGGAAAGTTGAAGGCACTATAGATAGGTATAAAGCTAGGCTGGTTGCTAAAGGCTTTCACCAGCAAGCAGGATTAGATTACACTGATACATTCAGTCTTGTTGCTAAGCCTGTTACAATTAGGCTTCTTCTTACTTTAGCTGTCCAATATGATTGGTTTCTTAATCAATTAGATGTCAGCAATGTTTTTCTCCATGGCTCTCTATCTGAAAAATGTATTCATGCAACAACCATCTGGTTTTCAGGATCCAACTAAGCCTACACATGTTTGTCATCTTCATAAGTCACTTTATGGTTTGAAACAAGCTCCCCGAGCTTGGTATGAAAAGCTGCAAGGTGCACTTTCCTCTATGGGTTTCATTGGTTCTCAGAATGATCATTCCTTGTTTGTTAAGAAGACTCCTACCTTGGTGTTTGTTTTAGTCTATGTAGATGACATCTTGGTTACAGGACCATCTTTTCAGGCATGCAAGGACACTATTGCTCAACTCAGTGCCTTATTCCTTATCAAAGATCTTGGTCCATTACACTTCTTTCTTGGCATAGAAGTAAAAAGGTCATCCTCTGGCATTCTGATCTCTCAGACAAAGTATATTCTGGAATTACTCAAGAAAGCTAAACTGGATGGAGCAAAGCCTTGTCCCACACCTTTGAGCACTTCAACATTGGATCACACTTCTCTTCTATTATTTAATCCAGAAGAATATAGGTCTCTTGTGGGTGGTTTGCAATATTTAACTTGGACATGACCTGATCTGTCTTTTGCAATTAATCTTGTCTGTCAATATATGCACAGTCCCAAAAAATCTCATCTTCAAGCTGTAAAACAAATTCTGAGATATCTTAAGGGCTCTCTTGATTTGGGGTTATGGT